ACCGATTGCGGGGTATCAATACAGCGTAAAGGAGAGACAAGCGATACATAACGGTGAGGCGGCAATGAGCGTGCGAGCTACAGGCTAGACTCGATCGGCGAGGGACGGAGCAGAGCGTCGTTGAAAACCCAAGCGTTGCGAGGCTAAATAACTAAGAGAAATACATATACTTGCGCATGTTGGGGTGCAGCGGCTTGAATTTCTCCTTGAACTTGTCGAGACTGGCCACAGCGGAGCCACCCTCAGGCGACAGACCCGAGCTCTCGTCAAAGTTAAGGCGTTCCATCGGGTTGTAGTGGTTCTTGGCGCGGGAGCACACAATATCGGCATCTGTGGGCACACGATGACTATAGGCAACAGGCGATCGCATAAACGAGGGCACTCACAGTAGACCGGCGCAGGGATGGAGACGGATCGTGTCGACCGCGCGTAGACATGACATAGGGCAAACGACAGCGCCTGCAGGTTGTCGGGCCTAGAATCGATGCGATGATAAGGCGCGCGGCAGGCGACCACAAAGACAGTTGCGACGTACGTAAAGTTGTTCTCATCGTGCAAGACACTGTAGTGTGCCGGCCTCGACGTGCCTAGCAGCGTAGATAACCCGACAAGCTGATGTTAGTACCGTTTTAGGATAAGAGGGGGACACGACTTATCCAGCATGGCTCTGGAGATACCAGTCGAGCTCGAGCGGGTGCGTGACATCCCGGTCGACGATGGTGCCCGCAGGGCAGTTGCCGCTCTTGTCCTTCTCGCCTTGGGGGAAGAACCGAACGTGGTGTCGCTTCCCAACCACGATCATCGTGATTTTGGGGTTGATCTTGAGGTTGGCACATGCCTCTGTGGTTTGAATTGAGCACGACGACGTACACATTTAATGCGTTGGGCTTACTCTTGATGAGCGGGAGTTCTTCGCAGACCATCAGGGTGAGCTAGGCTATCTCATGCTATACAGCAAATAGACTTACCTTGCTCAATTACGTGTTTGAACTGCCCCTCAGAGACCCCATCTACGGGTCACCGTTAGCGAGGGAGACGGTGCACATTGGATAATCTCCGTACCTCGATAGAAGATGATGCGAGTCGGCGCTGGATTGGACTTCTTCTCCGCCTGTCTACGATAATCCATGTAAAACTCGAGCATCCGCTACATTCACATTAGCGTCCGCGTCCATACCACACATTATAGCCCGTGGGGATGCGCACCTGGCTCATGCTCTCGAGGTCCTCGATGAGCTCCTTGCGCGACGTCTGCACGCGGCAGTCCGCGACGTACTTGGCGGTGTCCGAATCCACGTTCGCGACCAGCGCCGTGAAGGAGGGCCGGCCCTCGGCTCCAGGCGCGGGGTGGATGACGTCCGCGCTGCTCAGGTGGTCAATAAGCATGTAGACGCGTAGCCGAGCGAGGGAAAGTGCGCACCCCATAACGATGGTGGGGTTCTTCGGGTCGGTCAACGCTGCCACGGAGCGGGGGTCTGGAATCGTGTTGATCCCGCCAAGCTTCACGTTGATCCTGAGACGGAGGTCAGCGCGCGAATCAGCGTGCACTTCGTGTGAGCTTACTTGAGGCAGACGTTCGCGAAGTATTGCGGCCTCGCGCGTGAACATTTATCAGACTTGAGGCACTGTGTCGCGACTCCTTGCTACGCGAGATGTGAGAACAAGCTTGCATGCACCCATAACACGCCGACTTACCTCAATGTCGCCAAAGCTATGGTTGACAGTAAAGTGTTAGGGCACCACGCGTTTTTTCGGGTAGTTTGTGCACTCACTGCTTCACGGCGGTGTACACGTCAGTCGCTCCTTCAGGGAGCACACAGATGACGAGGTTCGGGCCAGTCTTGTACTTCTGGACGCACTGCGACGCAACACGGCGGATTTGCTGACAAGCGATCATACGGAAAATGCATGAGACACTTCGTTCGTCACATCGTAGCAGCCTGGGCTCACCTCGTTGGCAGCAACTTGGGGGTTCGCGTATCCGTATTCCGGCCTCTCATTCAGCATGGTAATGCCTACAAACGGATATGAGCGCGAATGCTATCTATTGAATATTGTTCACTTACCGACGGACTTGCAGGCCTCCACAAAGCTCTGAATCATCCCGTGAAGCAATTCGGGCGTAAACCTTCCCTGACGTTCAAACACGACAACGATCCATTGCTGAATCTTGCACGGCTGATAGAACTTCTTGTCGACCCTAAAGATTCATGGGTTAATCAGGAGCGTCGAGCGATAGCGGGTGAACGCACATGTTCCACGAGCCATCACGCGGGACCTAAATGGGGGTTAGGGCTGAGAACCGCATTGCTTCGTGGGAGGAGGGACCTACGATCGTCACTCCACCTTGCTTCGCTGCGCCGTACTTCAGCGTGGGTGGGCTGAGCACGCGGGCATTGATAGACATTGGCTTCGCATTCGGGTCCACTGCCAGGCCGAATTGCTATGGGTTCACCGTGATCAGAAGAACAGCAGACTCTCGGTGACCACTATATACGCACCCTAACGTACTCTGATTGTCCGTATTGTAACACCTGGATGCCATCAGCATGATAAGACGCGACCGCTGAGATTGAACTCACCCCAAGGCCATTGGCGATACTTTGCAGGCGCTCATGTGGCTTCTTTGTCGCGAACTCGAGCACGTCCTTCGTCTTCTCCGGCGGGATCGGCTTCTTCATGATCTGCCCGGGCGGCACGTAGAGCATCTCGAGCGGCACGAGGGCGCCGTTGCCGACCTCCGCGCAGACGGCGTCCGGGCACTTGAGCTCGAGGTTGTGCGTCTGCCGGAAGTACTGCGCGACAGTGATCGTGTTGCCTTCGCGCGTCGTGAAGCTCAGCGCGTTCGCGCCCGCGGACGAGAGCCGCTTCACGACCCGGGGTGCCCGGGCCTGCTGCTGGCCCGCTGTCCTGGTCGTAACACGCATGCCCATGACGAACCGCTGCAGCCGGATGCGGTCGGACTCCCGCAGGCGTTTGCTAGGCGCGAGGAAGCTAGGGTCGCGCGTGCCGAAGAAGTCAAGGCACACGTTGAGGAGCGGGCCGTCCTTGTACATAGCCCCGGTGCTGATGTCGACATTGATGAGCATCTTGCCGATGGCGGGGCGCACCGACTGGAAGTAGCCGCGCCAGAGAACGATGCCGCCACCAATGTCCTTGGTCTCGCGGTTCGTGAAGAATGAACGCACGTTGAACGGGTACTTGAGCGACGGTTCCATGCGGATCACGACGTTGAGAGCCTGTGGCGCTCATGCATGAGGGGGACCGTGTTGAAGGATACGCGCATATGCTCACAGTGATCGCAGTCAGAACCATGTTGTCTTGAGACTGTGTGCCTTGCAAGAATCTTGCGAGCACCCTATGCAGACGGACAGGGTTCAGTAAATGTCGCGGGCGGGCGTGCATTACACATACTCGGGATTGATCTCAGCAACATGGGTGAGCTTGACCTTGTAAATTTTAGGAGCACGGCCTGTGGCCGATGCTCCTGCATCTTCGAGCGTGACGTCAAACTGTAGCGCTAGTCAATCGGTAGGAAGACGAGGCAGCATCACGCATACACGCACCTCCTGACTCCTTGCTTCGCCAAAGGGGAGCTCTCGGGCTGCGAACAGGTTCTTGCGCCCATCGTACACTGCACGCGGGGTAAAGACCTGAGGGGCAATCTTTGTCTGGAGGCGGTCGATGATTTCCATGTTGAGCCGCGCCGGCAAAGTCTTCTCGTCAGGACGGATGATGACTGCCCATGGAATGTTTGGATCAATGAACATACACTCCGCAATCAGGGAAACACACCATCATAATGATGAATAATTGAATCCGGAATCTTAACAGGGAAGTGGTTGGTGGTAATGGCAAGGGGTCTGCCTGCCGTACCGAACGCACTGCGCCGCACGCCCACAGTGGTTACATGCGACGCAGCGCCTTGGGCGGAGGACGCGCCGACGCCAGCGCCACGTCCAAGGAGATGAGGGGGACCGCCGCCACGGCCGGATCCGCCGCCACGACCAACAAGGCTGAAGCTGGCGGGGTCGCGACCACGAGCAGTACCACGGGGAGGCATACTAGTAAGTGGGAATGTAGTGGATGGATGGTGTTGAGGTTGTGTGAGCGAGGGGAAACGCGTATGTAGACGGGAGAGAGTGGAAGGGGAGAGAGGCGAGTGGTTTTAAAGGACGGGCATGGCAGGGCCACAGTGGGCGGCGTGCTGGTACTATTGTGCTTTGTGCTTCGCGCCGCTCACCCATCGCCTTCGATCGCGGTCACGTGTGAGTGATCGCGTCGCGCTTTAGCCTCTTCCTGGTCAAAGCAGCCGCCTCGAGGCCCCTCTTTGCTCCCGTCTCCATCCATACACGCGCCCATTGTACGCCACTCGCCGAGGCTACTTGTGAAGGGCGGACACATAGCCTACCATGGGATCTTGTTCAGAGGCTCGACCCCTATCATGACGACTCGCACTGTTGTCAGCTTGCACGGGCTTCTATAACAGTGGCACAATGTGCGTTGGCGCGAATCGGAGTGTGACATTTGGAGGCCGGTGCTGGTTTTGATGCCACTACACCACGGCGATAATGGCTGGACACATGCATTATGTATGGGTGGGGTTATTCATCCGCATCACGTTCAAGTTGCGCAAGCCGAATAACGCTCCTAGTACTAGATCACTGACCGGGTAATCAACGTGGAGAACGGAGTGAACACTCACTGGTTCCTCGCCGGGATCTTGTCTACATCCGAATCAAACGTCTCGTCGGAGAGTATATGTGCTCGAGCTGATAACACACCTGCCTTCGTCGGGCAAGTTGACACAGCCGTGCATTATACGACCGAGATGCTATGATGCGGGCGAAGCGATGTGCGTCGACAGAGTCCGGGGAGTGATAGTCATGTATGCCGATGCAGTGATTTCCCTCGGCCAGGACAGACTAGAGGATATGATCGTGGTTATGCGACAAGAGGGAAAATGATAGCGAGTGCTTGATGAGAAAAACCCGCCAAAAAGGCCGTACGAGGTTTCGAACCTCGGTTGACGGAACTTTCCGATTTGATCCGATGTGAGTATGGACCAATCATCAATCAGAATCCGCCGTGATAACCACTACACTATACGGCCGCGAGGGACCAGAAAGTACGGTGCACCAAGTGGCGCGACGTGCTACCCCTGCGCCGCTGCAGTGCGCGACCACGTGCAAGGCATTTAGAGGGATGCGATGAGGGAGTCATCGTCTTCGCGCTTGTCTTCGCGCGATGTCTGTCTTCCTCCCTCTCCTCGATGGCTCTGCGGACGATGCCCTGGCGCTCGCACTCGCGCGAATTGGCCCTGTCATCATCGCGGCAGCCCAGGACACTCCCACCGCACTTCCCGAGCATGCTTCGCGCTATGTCCTCTTCGATAACGGCAGCCTAGACGAAGCAACTGCTGCCCTCAATCAGGGTGCCGACAAGGTCGTCCTGCCCCTTGCCCAAGCAAAGCAGGCCATCGGACTCCTCCCTGCGGACCGCCTGGTTCTTCTCCTCGACGTAGCCAACGTCAGCGCAGTATCTGACACTGTCCGCAATGGCATCTCTGGTGTGTTGATCAAGACGCCGGCCGTCGACATTGACCTCGTATCTTCTGTCTCGCGCTTCTTCACGGGCTCTACCATCCACGTCCTATCCGCAGACACGAACTCGCCCCCTTCACGGTCCATCATACGCGGTCTTATCGCTATAGGGGCTATCCTTGTGTTACCCACTGCCCTCCTCACGCTCACAGCATCCACGGAGCGCCAGATCAACGTCGCTGATGCCTTCCTCTCCCCTCTCACGTCCGATCGGCCAGACGGCCTTTTCCCTACAGTGGTATCCGCCCACAACGAGGGCGGACGTTCCCTGGGCCTCGTGTATTCGTCAGTCGAGTCGCTCAAGGAAAGCATTGTGAGCGGCAAGGGCGTGTATCAGTCTCGCAAACACGGCCTCTGGCGCAAGGGCGAGACCTCCGGAGCAACTCAAGAAGTCGTCAGCATCCGCCTGGACTGCGATTCTGATGCCATCGAGTTCTCCGTTATCCAGCACGGTGCAGGGTTCTGTCATCTCAATCGCCCATCCTGCTTTGGTCCGAGCGAAACGAGGGGCCTTCGTGGTCTGGAGAAGACGCTACAGGCTCGGCTCGCGTCCGCACCTGAAGGCTCCTACACGCTGAGACTTTTCAATGATCCAGCCCTCCTCCGTGCGAAGATCATGGAGGAGGCAGACGAGCTCTGCACGGCCGAGACAAAACAAGACGTTGCTTTCGAGGCCGCTGACCTCGTTTACTTTGCCCTGACCCGGTGTGTAGCCGCGGGTGTAGGCATCGCCGACATCGAGCGATCCCTCGACAAAAAGGCGAAGAAGGTCACCCGTCGTGCGGGAAATGCAAAGCCGCAGTGGACCAAGACTTCCGACGCTACTCAGCCCGCGAACGGCAAAACCGCTTCTCCCGCGCCCGCACCTGCGCCCGCCAAGCAGAAGGCACTTGTGGATCCTGACGCGCCGATTCGCATGCATACGTACGATCTCTCAGCAGCCTCAGTCGAGCAGAGGGCCCAGCTACTCCGCCGACCCGTGCTCAAGTACGACGAGATGCTGCAGAAAGTCAAGCCCATCGTCGACGACGTGCGCCTGCGGGGCGACGCCGCCCTGCTCGAGCTCACCGCCAAGTTCGACAAGGCGCAGCTCTCGTCAACCGTCGTCCGCCCGCCGTTCGCGCCCGAAACCATGCAGACTGACGAGGAGGTGCGCAAGGCGATCGACGTCGCGTACGCGAACATCCACAAGTTCCACGCCGCGCAGGCGGAACAAGGCGCCATGGTCGTCGAGACCATGCCCGGCGTCGTCTGCTCGCGCTTCGCGCGGCCGGTCGCGCGCGTCGGCCTGTACGTCCCCGGCGGGACGGCGATCCTCCCCTCCACCGCGTTGATGCTCGGCATCCCCGCCCAGGTCGCTGGCTGCAAGGAGATCGTGATCGCGACGCCGCCGCGGCCCGACGGGAGCATCTCACCAGAAGTGATGTACGTCGCGAAGCTCGTCGGCGCGTCGGCGATCCTCAAGGCCGGCGGCGCGCAGGCGGTCTCGGCGCTCGCGTACGGCACGCAGAGCGTCCCCAAGGTCGACAAGATCTTTGGGCCGGGCAACCAGTGGGTCACCGCGGCGAAGTTGCTCGTGCAGAACGACACCGACGCGCTCGTGTCGATCGACATGCCCGCGGGGCCGTCCGAAGTGCTCGTGGGTTATCTCTATCTCGTCTGCGTATCGAGGGGCTGGGATCTCATTTCCTCTTGCGACAGGTCGTTGCCGATCGGACGGGCAACCCTGCGTTCGTGGCCGCGGACCTGCTCTCGCAGGCGGAGCATGGCGTCGACTCGCAGGTCGTCCTCGTTGCGGTCGATCTGGCGGACGCGGGACTTGCTGCGATCGAGGCGGAGCTCGATAAGCAGGCGAAGGCGCTCTCACGCGTGGCCATCGTCCGCGAGTCGATCGCGAAGAGCAACATCGTGCGAGTGCAGACCGTCGCGGAGGCGCTCCAGTTCTCGAACGACTATGCGCCCGAGCACTTGATCATCCACCTGCAGGACGCCAGGGCGGCGCTACCGCTCGTCGAGAATGCTGGGAGCGTGTTCGTCGGACCATATTCACCAGAAAGGTATGGCGTGACGATCATGACCACATAGCTCCTCCGTGGCTGATAATCCCCGCAGCTGTGGCGACTACGCATCGGGCACGAACCACACGCTACCAACGAATGGGTACGCCCGCCAATTCAGTGGGGTCAATACCCTATCCTTCCAAAAGCATATCACTTCACAAGAAGTCAGCGCAGATGGCCTCAGGGGTCTTGGACCCGTGGTGGCAACGTTGGCTGATTGCGAAGGTTTGGATGCGCACGCGAACGCGGTTCGTGTCCGTCTGCGGGCTCTCTGAAGTAGTGGTGTAGTGGCGCAGAAGATCTATAAAGTGTTCTGTATACGGCAAAGCGTGTAAATTATATAGCAGTGTGTGTCCCTAAGTTATAAGTAACACGTCTGTGCAGCCCAACCAGGGAATTTACCGTAATGACGCCCCACGCCGACATCCTCCACGCCTACATGACGCACTCGACGACCAAAGCCGTCTAGTTGGTCCGGTAAAGCACCCGCTTGGCCACCTTTGTGATGACGGGCGCGTCGGGGAAGGCACGAGCCTCGAGGTTGATGGCATACTAGAAGCCCAGAAGTCAAAGAACAGACAGAAGTGCCGTAGAAGATTGACATACGGGTGTAGGGACGTCAGCACCAGTGACACGCTCAACGGGTGCATCGAGATAGTCGAAGGCTTCGCTCTCGACAATCTGAGCACAGATCTCACTACCGACACCGAAGGCCGGGAAACCGCCCTCGACAATAATGAGTCTGCTTACATTTTAGCATGGTATGACATTATTGCAGAAGGATAGGACGCACCGGTTGGTCTTCTTGACAGAGTTCTTTATAGTCTCCATGTCAAGAGGGCGGATACTACGCAGGTTGATGACCTCCGCCTTGATACCCTCCTTGGCGAGTTCCTCAGCGGCATCCATACTCCGCGAAACCATCAAGCTGTGCGCAACGATGGTGACGTCGCTGCCCTCGCGCTCAATCTTCGCCTTGCCGATCGGAAGGACGAAGTCATCGGACATTGCCTCCTGCGACATGGGGAAGCTAAGGCCGTACAACATCTCGTTCTCGAGGAAAACGACAGGGTTCGGGTCACGGATGGCGGCCTGTAACACAGAAGATCTTAAGTGGGCACATCACTATGGGCGGACCGGAGCAAACCTTGAGCAGGCCCTTGCAGTCCTCAGCACTCCAGGGACTGACTACCTTGAGACCGGGGATAGAGCCGTACCATGCAGCGTAGTCCTGCGAATGCTGGGCTCCGACACCGGAAGCGGCACCGTTGGGACCACGGAAGACGATCGGGCAGGTGAGGAAACCACCAGACATGTAGAGTGTCTTTGCGGCCGAGTTCACAATCTGGTCGATGGCCTGCATTGCAAAGTTGAAGGTCATGAACTCGCAACTGATTGATTATGAATATATCATCGCATGATCTGAAAGACGAGTCGATACGTACACTGGGCGGAGACCCGCGAATGCGGAACCAGTTGCCAGACCGGCGAAACCCATCTCAGTAATGGGGGTGTCCACGACACGCTTCTCGCCAAACTTGTCCATGAGGCCCTTGGTCACCTACAAACGCGATCACTTTGTCAAACTCGCGCCCACACGCAGCGGGAAGTTGAGGCGCACCTTGTATGCACCATTGTAACGAGCGACCTCCTCACCGATGATGAACACCTTCTCATCCCGCAACATTTCCTCCTCCAGAGCTGCATTAAGGGCGTCACGGACGGTCAGCTGCGCGAAGCCACGCAGTCAGGCTCTGGAGACACGTAGAAGGGTCTAGATGCACGCACGGAATGTTCGCTCTGCGAAGCGTAGCCGCGGACGAGGAGGGCACGGCGCGCCGCGAATGCGGGAGCCCTGTGCGCGCGAGCAAGGGCAGGGGCGAAGCGGGAGAGTGCGACTCGCGTCGACATGGCTTTTGGAGAGGAGGAGGAGAGGACGAGAGGGAGGAAGCGAGACTGGGAAGGATTTGTGAGGGTTGGGGGGCGCCGGTGTGCTGGCTCGGCACCTATCGGGACGGAGGCCGCCTCGCGCGACTCAGCGTGCGAAGTCGAATACGTCCCTCGTCTCACTTCTGCCACAGCTCACCTGCGTCTGCGCTCTCATCGTCCCATTGCTCTCAGCATGTCTCGCAACCCAGTTGTCCTCATCACCGGCGCGTCCAAGTGCATTGTTATCCGTCTCGCATCCCTCGAGCTCGCTGGCTGAGACGTTGTCCCAGAGGTCTCGGTCTTGCAGCCACCAAAATCTTGCTCACCGAATTCGATGCGAAAGTGGTCGCACTGTCGCGCTCGGAGACTGTAGAGCTGACAGAGCTCAGGAAACATCACGCAGATTCGTTGTTACTTGCGAAGGGCGACGTGTTAGTCCTGTGGTCTCTTCGGTCTGCATCCATCTTAGCCCCTCGCATTCAGCACGGACAAAGTCATCGTCGCCTCTGCGGTCGACTCCG